TTCACTCGTGCCGAGAGTCTATCTGAACAAGAAGTTTAATTAATCCTATTGTTTCACTCGTGCCGAGAGTCTATCTGAACAAGAAGTTTAATTAATCCTATTGTTTCACTCGTGCCGAGAGTCTATCTGAACAAGAAGTTTAATTAATCCTATTGTTTCACTCGTGCCGAGAGTCTATCTGAACAAGAAGTTGACAGAATCCCATTGTTTCAGTCGTACCGAGATTCTACCAGCGAGCGCCTCGTAATTAGGTTCCCCGCAAGCTGCGAGCAGAGAGTGGCAGCAACACAGCAGTGAACAGGAAAACGAGTAAATATTGACAGACCCGCTCAGTATTTTAGGCGTGATGGTGTAAAGGGATGGGAGTGTATATTTTGAAGCAGGGTGTGGTGCTACATGCTGGTGTCATATGTCGCTAATGTGTTGTCAGTTGTCACAAAGCAAATTCCATGGGCTTGCTTTCAGACGACCAACAAAATTTATAAATGCGCTAATCAATTTCAGAATTTCAAAAGCGATCAATTCCGATCACTAAACTAGTTAACAGTGATCTTACAGTAAACTGTCAAAGAACTGTTTCACCAATTTGTACTGAATACTGCAAAATTACATTTATTAAAGTACCCCCACACTACAATTTCTTCTCCTTGTATCACGTAAAAAAATGGCTTGTCAGAAAAAAGTCAATCTGCGTTGAAATTGTGAAGTATTAGGTCGTTCTGGTATAAAAATTGTTATCTTAAAAGAGGCCTAATTGTACAGATTGGTACAGAGATGTATTTCATATAGACCTACATATTCTTTGGATGAGATGTTGCTCGTCAGACTTACAAGATGTCATATGCCATGTCAGATGTCATTTCTTTCGTTCTGCTAGCATCCCTTGTTTCTTTATGATCTCGGTTTAGTTCAACGTAACGAAGATATCGGTCGATATAATCGGCAGCGAATCGACCCTCGTCTAAATGCTAATTAATAATTCAGTCCGTACCGCAAAGAAAACACTACACTTCACCATTACACAAATCAATTGTTTAATGATGTTTAAGAAGAATTATGCAAACAGCGTAAATGTATTCCTACTGTGAGAAACAAATTAAGAGTGGTAAGTATAGTTACCGTTGGGATTTGAAGGGTTAGTAGTCAATGACGCATTACACGTTCAGTGTTTGAAGTGGGGATTGTCTGTGTTTAGATTAGGGAATTTTGTGCTGTTGCGTGTAAAATTTTGTGTTATTTCTTTGTCATTCTCCACTACGTAATAGGCCTAAACTAGTCCTGAATAGTCTACTTGGAAACTACAGGCTAATTGTAAAAATATCTAAATTGTGATGCTGACTGGCTATGAATACCAAATAGGTCCTATAGGCATAGTACCTCTAAATTGTAGATCTACTACTCGTATGTGCACTATCAAATAGGTCTAACAGTCTACAAATTAAGACTACAAGGTAAGAAGCGTCCTATTTTAGCCTATAGCCTAGGCCTCCTGTCAATCTCAATATCTACATAATAGACAGGCAACTTTAAATTCATTTTCACCAACACTTGTCAGTAGTCAACCAAATATATCTAGCATAATATTTTCAAGCAATCACTAAACTGACTTTTGACATCTCGTTAAAGTCGAACGAACTTCAATGGGCTGTTGTGTTGCTTTTCAGGTTTATAGGCCTACGCTACTGTCTTTACAAACGGGAGTCGATTATGGATAGGCTTATGTCTCAGGCAAAATTATCTCTAATCATAATTAGTCTATTATAATCTTTTTCCTATTAGCTTAAATTATTATTATTATTTTCACATCGTCTTACACGGCATCTAATCTTGTCCCTATAGCTCATAAATTACACAGTACTTCGTAAATTATTATAATATTATTATTATTATTATTATTATTGATCTTACTAAAGCTTTTGACTTAGTTCCTCATAATATTCTTCTTGGGAAACTTAGAAACTTTGGACTATCACCCAGTTATGTTGACTGGTTCCATAGTTATCTTTCTGACAGGCAATCTTTTGTTCGTGTATGTGGAACTCTTTCGTATCCTTATCGTGTTAAGTGTGGGGTGCCTCAGGGTTCCACCCTAGGCCCCTTACTTTTTAATATATTCATTAATGACATCTGCGACTCCATACATAATTCACAGTGCCTTTTATTTGCTGATGACTTAAAGATGTATCGGAGTATCAGCGATGTTGATGACTGCAAACTGTTGCAGGACGACATCCATTCAGTGCAAAATTGGTGTCTTGTGAATGGGATGCAACTTAATTTAAGTAAAACTACTGTTATATCATTCACTCGGAAGACAAACAGTATTTACTTTAATTACAAATTGTGTAACAACCTGGTGGCACGCTCCCATTGTGTTAAAGATCTCGGTGTTCTACTGGACTGTAAGCTCTATTTTCACCAGCATATTAACTATATATTCTCACAAGGCTTAAAAATGCTAGGTTTGATTCGGTACATTACTTCTTCCTTCTCCACTGTTGATAGCCTTTTGGTTTTGTACAGCACTTTAGTCCGTTCCAAAATTGAGTATGCATCCGTTGTTTGGAACTCTATTACTAATACTGATTCCTTTAAATTGGAAAGGATTCAAAGGAAATTTGTAGCTCTATGTTACACTAGATTCTTTAATGGCGTGTGTGCCTATAATTACGATGATATACTAGTTAGATTAAACTTCTTATCGTTACATTTAAGGAGGAGGCTTTTGGATGCGCTTTTCCTCGTGAATGTTTTTAAAGGCAAAATTAGTTACTCATCTGTTTTTGATACAGTTAGTCTCTGCATACCCACTAGGTCCATCAGAGACTACTCTACCTTTACTGTACAACGTAATTTCAAGGCCAGTCCTTCTGCCAGATGCGTTTCTGCTGCCAATGCAGTCTGTAGGAGCATCGACATCTTTAACAAAGATCGTATTTTGCTTACTGATGTCAGTCAGCTTTTTAAACAATAATCATTGTTTTTATTGTTTACTTAGTATAACATTTTATTGTGTATGTTTTCTGTCCAATATTAAACTGTTTTTAGTATAATTATTATTTTACTTATCTATAGCATTTAGTTTTTTACTTATGACTTATTTTGCAATAAATCAATATTGTACAGTTATGTTTTCAGTTCTTTGTTTGTTTGCTTTTGTATTGTAATGTCTGTATTGTTGTTAGTGCTTGGCTGTTATTGGCCTTTTTGGCTGTTGTCAAGCACTTTAATAAATTAATTGAATTGAATTGAATTGAATTGAATTATTACTACGGCTAATATTGCTGCTGACAACTTCGCATAATATGCTATCTTAATTCACAGAACGGTGTTACGGACTTAATTACTGTCCCGCGCCGTAGCCTCGCGGTCTGAGGCATCGTTCTTCGGAACGGCGATACGGAACGCGCGCTGGTTCGAGTCTCGGGGGAGAAGAAATTTCTCATGAGATTATCAACCGGTGTATGGGGCCGGTGCCAACCCAGCATCGTGAGGAAATTGGGGAGCTACAATGAGTAGCGTAATCCGGTCAGGAAAACTAGCAATGGCTGGGGGTTCGTCGTGCTGACCACACGTCACCCTGTATCTGGTTCGATGATCGTTCACCTCTGCTTTAGGCATGTGAACCTGAGGCCAGCAGTCAAGCTAGTCGGCTTTGGCTCTCTGGATTATTATTATTATTGTTGTTTATTAGCCTAATTATTAGTCCTAGGTCTTCATACCGCGTATAAACAAGTAAACTGTTCTTTGGTTACACTTGTCTTGCGACGAAAATAAAAACGTTTTAGCAAACTGCTTCATTTTACGAAATATAATCTACCATAATGCAATCATCGGCCAGATTCATACAAACGTTTTGACTTAGTCTAATTTTCTTAACTAGAACCTTAAATAAAAACTATTTATAAAAATTAAGACACGGTTAACGTGAAAACTATGCCTACATTTATACAAGTCCAGTAACCTCAAGACTGGGATTCGTTATGAATACTTGGTAATACCACGACAGAAAACAATAAAAAACAACAGAGATTTTCCTCACCAGTCTCCATTCCTACAGTTTCCACGTGGAAATCCTGTAGCTGGTATTAAATAGCCAAGGTCCTCTTGATTCAATTGCGATCCAAATGTCTCACCGACGTTTCAGTCACTTCCAGCCTCATTACGCAAATCCTTTATGACACCTGCTCCATCAACACTTCACCACACTATACGGTTTTGAATATTAAAAGGTTAATCCACACTGACCACATAATCAACTACGTAAACGCAAGATAAAATTTCTTGTTAAAATTAGGTCTAGTTTACGTTGTCACTTAAAAACAAGACTGAAGACGGAATTTTTTTTATTTTCCAAAGCAGATACAAGGCCTTTCTTAAGAGACTTATCTTATGTGGACTTAAAATCCTTCCACTTAACTACGGTGAACTCCAGACAACATGAAGAACCACACGATTCTCATTTCAGTTACCACTCCCTCAACATCACTCCTTATCACTGATGCACAGTAGAAACCCCCTTTCCTTAATAAAAGCAATAAACGCGCATGAAAATGGCCACAAACTTCTGTTGTGTTCAGTCCCCCCACAAGGAGACTACGCCTCGGAGATCCATGGAACGTCGCTCCCCGCTGAAAGTGTAACCAGCCATTACCGTTTCGGGTCATTAACATTTCTGCCAATCACAGTGTAGTTTAGGCGTGGCCACGTATGTGGTTGGTCCTTATCCTCCTCCAATGAAGTGAGTCTCGGTTACGTGTGGGAGGGAGAACCACGAACCGTTACGTCACGCGTGGATTCGAAGGAGTAAAAACCATTTCCATTGGGCGTACTCGCTTTGATGGGTGTCCGTTTTACACCAAAATTCTACAATTACAGACTTTGATGGGTGTCTTGTTTTACACCAAAATTCTACAATTACAGATTTAGCTCTTGGTCAAACATGTGATGGCTGACAGAATGCAATGCCCCCTAACCGCAGCGAAACATCGATACCAAATACCATAGAAAAGCGGACAAAAGATTCAAAAACACGAATAAGTGAGTTCGATTCCCGGCGGTGCCCGAATTTATAACTTGTGTTGGGCAAGGCCGTGGTCTAGGCAACACGGAGTTTTCCTCCGGGGGCTTCCCCGGTTTCTCCGTGGCATCCCAACAATTACCCCATTCACACACAGAAGAAGGCAATGGCAAACCACTTCTGAATCATCTGGCAAGAACGTATATGAACAGGTCCCAATCCGAGAAAAGGATGGAAGGATCCTGGTCATATGGACCTGTCGTCAGACAGAACACTAAAAATAAAAATAAAAAAATTTCAGGACACTTGCTGTTGTAAAAATACCACACCAAGTTTTACCATCGACACAAGTATACAGTTAAAAACAAATGTACAGTAGTCGGTACCCAACCGTGCGTATCCAACATCAGGACGATGAGTCAGTTGAATTAAATTCAATCTCTCTCGCACAGTTTATTTAGAGATTATCCAATTTATTATCCTCCTGTCTTCACCTTAGTATCCTAAGTTAAGCAGATTAGCCTCTGAATACTGAATTAAACTCTCTTCTTAAGGCTGTTTTCACAGACCAAGCACTTCGATCTCATCCGGTTTAGGACTACGAATTCTTCAATATTTGGTAGGGCTCCTTGAACGTGTTATCGACTTATCACAAGGCAACTACCAGCATAGGATAATACAACAAAGAAAAACGAGGTTATAACTCAGAATCCCTGTGTTCAAACAAAACCTACCACAAGCCTATGTATGACATTAGACTCTGCGTAAAATATTGAAAGAAATTTCTCTACAAAGAAACTTCACTACTTCAGATATGGACCAATTCTCTGAAGGAGGTCTTTTGTTTTGAAATTCCTTTAACACTTTAAATTCCAATAGTAAAACCATTCGTTATCACTTACTTTAAAATTACAACTTTCTGAATTCTGGAAACAAGATTCATTCGCCTTTTATGATTTTCGATATAAACAGTAATTGTTTCCCCAAACACTATCAACCAATTGACCTTCGTAATGAACAAGTATAGTGTTTTCTTTGAAGTATGAATTGAATTTGCTTGAATGGGTTAACAATAAGCGTTAGTTTAATAGACTTCAATAGTCGGACGTTTACAAAAAATAAGTCTTCTGACAAAACATTTAAATTGAATAAAAATTTCCTTGGATATTATCCATCGTCTAGTAAATATAAAACGTAAAAACGACGTTTCGGAGATGGTACTCTATCTCCGTCTTCAGGTTCCTACACAGTTGGGCCCACTAGATAGAGCTAATCCCTGTGTAGGAACCTGAAGACGGAGATAGAGTCACATCTCCGAAACGTCGTTTTACGTTTTATATTTACTAGACGATGGATAATATCCAAGAAAATTTATATTCAATTCACTCTTCACCATCGTCAAGAAGTTTTAGATTTGAAAAACATTTAAAAATTATTTTCTACCTGAAAAACTAGCATCAAATTTCGTACCAACATTCACTGTTTAAATAAGCTAAACACATTTTCGTTCAGCACTAAAACTGTACGGCAGAAACTACGTAGTAAATAAATGCACTGATTCATAACTCGAGAGTGGAATGTTTAAGTTCATACTACGATAACACTGGGAGTGATAAGCTTTGTTCCACCGAGAGACATGACAGACGCTGTCAGCTCACGTCACGGGGTTTAATCGACAATCAAAACCAATTATTTTTACAGGGCCTCTGCAATAGTACAAAAGAGCCGTTACGCCACTGATCTGGCACAAAGGTCACGACGGACAAGTTGCCACGCACATATGTTGCGGAAACAACCCACTGAAGTAACCTAAATGTGGCACAGAATTTTTCCTCTAGACTCTGCGTCCAAATCGGTTCTGAGGTCCACCCAGCCTCCTCTACTCCCGGGGGTTAAACCCCGGCCGGGGTGTGACACTGACCACTCACCTCCATCTGGTGCCGGGGTTAAGAATTCGTAGGAGCTAAACCTCCTCTACCCCAAGTGCCTACATGGCGTGTAGTGGGGAAAACTTTACTTTTCCTCAATCCACTGTTCTAAGACACCTCAGTATGTGGTTTAAATTAATCTAATCTCAAACTTTTCCTCATTTTCAAGAAATTCGCCTATAGGTCTATTACAAATATGTTCTGTTATCTGTATGAGGACAGCCACGGTGGTCTAGCGGTTAGAACGCTGGCCCTGTAATCCTGGGGTATCGCGTTCGATTCCCGGCGGTGCCCGAATTTATAACTTGTTGGGCAAGGCCGTGGTCTAGGCAACACGGAGGATTCCTCCGTGGCATCCCAACAATTACTCCATTCACACACAGAAGAAGGCAATGGCAAACCACTTCTGGATCATCTGCCAAGAACGTATATGAACAGGTCCCAGTCCGAGAAAAGGATGGAAGGATCCTGTTCATATGGACCTGTCGTCAGAGAGAACACTAAATAAATAAATAAATCTGTATGAGATTATTTTAGGCCTAGAAGTTTCTACGTTTAGGCAAACATCAATGCGCTAATCGTCTATCAGGCAAGTTCCAAGTTTCTGTCTATCGTATTAGGTACTTTTTCGTAAATTAAACGAACATAATCAGCAGACACTAGTATCAAATTCTTTCCAGCCGTACTTTAAATTAACCTATTCAGACTTTTTAATCCAGTAGCTACATTTAAATATCCGGTTTATGATCACTTTAACAAAGATGGCAATCATTTATTAACGAGTACTTTTTAAAACGCTGTTACAAATAATAAATGAATAAAGCCTTCATCCACGTTTTCAAACTTTTATTCCACAGACAATGATTTCAGACAAAGCGACACTAACTTAAAAATAATTCACTAATCATCGCGGTAATAAACGACGGTATTATCGTCGACACGTGCGGATAAAGTTGGCAGTTATAAAAACTTGTCATCCTCTTACTGAATTGTATTAACCCTGTCTTTAAATCCTGTACAGAGCTGAATGAAACATTCAGCAACGAACCAATGGTCCCACTTGTTTTCGCACTGCTAATATTAATAGTACACCCCCCTTTTTCTAAAGCGTCAGTGTTTAAAAAATATATTTCAATTAATAGAATCATAAGATGGTAAAGTTGCGTCATATTGTGATATAATAAGTATATATATTAAATCTTGTCCGTCTAATCACAATAAATTCTTATTAAATATTAACATGAAAAATGATGGTCTAATGTAAATCGAATATTTCGATAAAGAACATCATTTAATATTTTAAATATTTTAAATGTTAATTATTGTAATATTTTAATATTTAATAAGAATTTATTGTGATTAGACGGACAAGATTTAA